GATCCAAGCTGTGCCAGACGAAAGCCACCTGCAAGACGCAGCAAGCAATTTGGAAGCTGGCAGTGCAGGACGTTTCTAGGCGTTCAGAAAGCAATGTTTGGCGCTCTGGGCTGCCGGCCGCGGGCCCGATCCGTCCTTCACTGCCATGGTGTTTTAGCCCTGCGGCACCGTCCTTGGACCCGAGCTGTGCCAGACGAAAGCCACCTGCAAGACGCAGCAAGCAATTTGGAAGCTGGCAGTGCAGAACGGCAGGTAAAGGCAAGGTTTGCAGCTGGTTTCTAGGCGTTCAGAAAGCAACGTTTGGCGCTCTGGGCTGCCGGCCGCGGGCCCGATCCGCCCTTCACTGCCATGGTGTTTTAGCCCTGCGGCACCGTCCTTGGACCCGAGCTGTGCCAGACGAAAGCCCGCTGGTAGGAGGATTGAGCGCAGCGGCACTGGTTGAAGACAGCCTGGGCACCAGCCCCCGGGCGCTTGGACACTGTTTTTTTGTTCGGTTCAGAAGACACTGTTTGAGCCAATTGGTCCCAGGGGTCGGCGGGATGGGGGCGCCAGCCCCACTTATTATTCCGGCCAGGGGCCCGCGGGGCCCGGAGCTGGCCGTGGCATTGCCATACGGCAGTTCTCTCCTCTCCGAAGAAAAGAGGGGCCGCCGCCCCTGCCGCCGACCTACCCCCCCACACCCCGTACCATCACAAAACCCTGCGTTTTACGGTGTTTTTTTGCTGTTCCCATTTTTCGGCTCGTGGCCTAAGATGGGTCAACATGGGCCAACATAGGCCGCAAGATGGGCCAACATAGCCCCAAGATGGGCCAACCTAGCCCTAAGATGAGCCCAAATTGCCCTCAAGATAGGCCAACATAGCCCCCAAGATGGGCCAAGATAGGCCAACATAGCCCCAAGATGGGCCCATATAGCCCCAAGCCGTTCACAACAAACCACGAACCACAAACCAGAAACCCCAAACCCCAAACCACAAACCACAAACCACACACAACAACCAGAACAACAACAACACCGACAACCGCAACAACCACAACCACAACCACAACCACAACAACAACAACAACAACAAGAACCACAAGAACCACAAGAACCACAAGAACCACAAGAACCACAAGAACCACAAGAACCACAAGAACCACAAGAACCACAAGAACCACAAGAACCACAAGAACCAAGAACAACAAGAACAACAAGAACAACAAGAACAACAAGAACAACAAGAACAACAAGAACAACAAGAACAACAAGAACAACAAGAACAACAAGAACAACAAGAACAAGAACAACACAAGAACCACAAGAACAACCACAGAACAACAAGAACAACAAGAACAACAAGAACAACCACAACCACAATCACAACCACAAACACAACACCACAACAAAGCCTTGAGCTCTTGCTCCCTGCTCGACCCCTATCACCTCAACATGGGCCCCTGGCCGGCTGTCGCACGTAAGCGCTTAAATATATTGATTGATTGTTAGATAGATCGATAGATGGATGCATAGATGATGGTGGATACAGTAGATAGGTTGGCAGGTAGATCGGTAGATTGATTGCTTGATTGCTAGGTGGATAGATTGCTTGATTACTTGATTGATAGATAGATAGATAGACAGACAGACAGATAGATAAATAGATAAATAGATAGTAGGAGAGAATAGGATAGGGTAGGATTAGGTAAGGTTCGGATTTGGATTTGGGTTTACATTGGCTTGGATTTGATTGGATGAGATTGGATGGGATTGGATAAGATTGGATGAGATTGGATAAGATTGGATGAGATTGGATGAGATTCCCTACTCTCTCTGCCAGGCAATAGCATCCCACTATGGATATGATAAGATAACAATCCTCAGTTTCTGCACTTTCCACATTTTACTTTCTCTTTGGCTCATGCTTTTGACAACAAATATCACCCAACATGAAAAGTTGATTCCACAGTTCGACCGCATTGCATATCATTGCATGCTCAGTTTCCTCAACGCAAGCTCCACGGAATGGCCTTCGCGCGCGCAAAGTCCCCAGCACGGGCATGTCCGCCAAAGTGAACCTTCCTCAAATTTGTAAAATGGCCGTGATACGAAAAGACATGCTAGCAGCATGCTAGGCGTCAAGCCTTTCGGAGCTGGCCTGGCTGGTGTCTGTGCTGCGATGCCTCAACACTAATTCAAAACTCTGAATTGGAACCCGCCTGAAGTCTTGGCCTGCTGCCTGGCACGAAAGTGCTGCGATATGGCCACTGATGATGTGGTGTCCTTTTTGTGCTTAAGCCAACACGCATGGATGCAGAGACAGACTGGATCAGACTGGATCAGACTGGATCAGACTGGATCAGACTGTCAGAGATGTTCACAGAGGCCATGCCCCAGCCTTCATCTCCGTCGGCATGGGCTTGCTTCGCCTTTGGCTCGCCATTTCCATGGCAACCCATACCGCTGTGGGAGGACTTCCTTGGACTCCTTGGCAACACGTTTCTGCAAAAACAAGCGACATATTTCTCTCTTGTGAGCCCACAATGATCTACGTCACAGTTGTAGTTTGTCGGGTCTTGTCTTTGAGCATCAGTGAAGTCTGAAGCCACGCAGCAGTGCGACAACCTATTCTGTAAGATGCAGATTTCTGAGAGTCTGACTGTCTCACATGGTTCACAGCAAGACCGTCGTACTGCCCAGGGCTTGATAGCAACATAGTATTGCTACATGTCCAGAGTCGAAGGTGATACGCAACATCGTCGTTATGACTTGTGCTCATTTGCGGGAGGGTTCGACCAAGTACATGAAGGTACTTGGATTGGCAGATTGCCGAACAGCATCACTAGATTCTATGACTAGATCATCTAGATCTCCCCAGCTTGCCTTTCTAGCGTTCTTGATGTCCCTGACAAAAGGTCAACATCGATGTAGCAGCTGTGGCATGAACAAGCAGGTCGAAGCCAGTCGCACACATGCTAAAAAGACAAAAGACTCTGATCCAGGACCAGAGGACCAGATCAAGATAGATCAAGCCAGCAAAAGGATGCAAAAGGCCTGAGGAAAGCTCTCTGTGCTGCAATTTCTTTTTGGAGGAACCTGTTCAGAGCAGCAGGGATGCAAAAGGCTCCAAACATCTTTGCGTATGAAATTCTCAGCTGCAAGATGCTGCAAGAATGGATTTCTGAGACCAGCACTTGAGGTACTGCTCCTTCTTGGGGCTGAATCCTTTGCTACAAGCAGGATGACTAGGATGGATGCGACGCATCTGCGACGCATCTGCGACGCATCTGCGACGCATCTGCGACGCATCTGCGACGCATCTGCGACAGTCGCCAGAGGGAAATGACGGGAAATTCAAGGCTTGGATTTCGTCTACACAATCATGAGCCATGCAAACCAAGTGCAAGCTCAGCTTCCAAGCACCGGAGATCCCTTAGCACATCGCTCCAGTGATGATAGGGCAAAGAGGGTGCCTTTAACTTTAATTTCAAAGCCACACTGGCTTTCTCAGTCCATATTCATTGTTCATCCTCGTCCGCTTAGAATTCATGAAATTTGAGAGGCATGATCTCGGCATGGCATTAACAATAGTTTGTGGCACTTATGTAAAAATTGCAATAAGACGCTTCATGTTTCAGCTCAGCTTTCCCTTGGCTGCAGTGTGCCCTCACTTAGACGCAGACTAGCTGCCTTAGGTGGGTCATACTTGGGAGCAAACTCGACCAGGTCTACCATGTGAACTACATACATCTCCAGGGTCCAAACTGCAAGTCAGCTCCGGTTTGCTCTTCCTGCAAAGGTCATCAGTGGTCAGTACACTGCAAAACACGGATCCTTCAACTCAGACGTCAAACAAGTGTGGGTAGCAGTGGGCTCTGTGAGAGTGCAAAACGCAGCTCCATTGAAGCCTCGGAGACAACTCGACCATCTGCCTTAGCGGTATATTCTAAAAGAGAGCCGATATTTTTATGTTCTTGTGCAAAAGAGCTGGTATACAGCTGCATGGATTTGGCCAAGAGTCTTCGCTGTCACGCAAGTCACGACACACATGAGGCGCGAGCATCAAGCGAGGCAGTGATCTTCAGGGAAGACCAATCCTTTGAAGGATGGCTGGCGGCTTGCAGAATTCAATCAAATCCATTGAATCCATTACCCAGCGGATCTATGCCAGCTGAGCCAAGTACATGCATTATATACTGTAAGATATATATGTGTGTGATTACGTGTATAATAAATATATATATATATTATACATATGCTAGATAGAAAATATTTTTTGTTGCATCCTTTTGCTGAATATTTTGGCTGAGCAAAAGCTTGCGCCTCACGCTCTTCAAGCTGCCAAATCCCTCTTCCATTCAAGGCCTTGTTCACACCACCACAGAATGAGGTCCGAGCGGTGTGTCATTTTTTTAAACTCACACTGCGCGGTCACTTCGCGACTTTATATCGAATTATTCATCTTTCTTCATTGATCGCCAGCAACACCATGCTATACCATGATTCTGTGATGCTGAGTGTTTGTTTCTTAATCTGCGAGAGGATTCATGAAGAGCTCTTGTCAAATCTATACACACACCTCAAATCCTGTTGCCCTTGGTACTCTCCCAGCTCTTGATAAGTTGGATTCAAGATTTGGTGAGGGGCTGGCCCCTCAACTTCACTGTCAAAAAAAGCCGACAGTAAAGCGACAATGACATGTTGCATATATATATATATCCTATATCTATCCTACATGTATATACTATCTATGTATACATCCTGTGTATGTATATATATATATACACATACGCAAATATATATATATATACACAAATATATATATACGCATATATATATATATACGCATTATATATATACGCATATGTATTTATATATATATACGCAGAGATATATATATATGTTATATAATTAATATATATATATGTTATATAATTAATATATATATATATATATTTATTATTGTATACATTTGCAAATGAATATGCGAGAGATATAATGTATATATATATACACATATTATGTACATGCATTGCAGGCCCCTTTTCATACTCATGAGAAGCCTTTGCAAGGTATGGGACATGTACAGTCCCTGAATCATCCTGACAACGGTGGCACTGTCGCAAACTTGATTGTTTCAAGTCAGTAGCCACTGGAAAAAAGCAGGATGTTACATCCACCTTTAAAGAAGGCCAGCACCCTGAGTGCGAGCAAGTGCACAAAAGGGGTCAAGAAACCGGGTGCTCAATGAGTGTTGAGTACAAAACTGCAGGAGATTTAATTCTATGTTTGCAGGTCTCAGGCAGTCGGGTCATAATTGAATCTGCGGCCATCTCCTGGAGGTAGTGCTCCAATGTGGGTTGACTGGACACACGCATCCGCCACATGATGTCAGAAATCGTCTCGCCTCGTTGATAGGCCATGATAGCACCTCCGCCTCTTATAGATGCAGGAGTGGGTCTCATCTGCTTTGGAACCAACAACTCATCTAAGAGGTGCTCCCATCTAGATCGAAAAGCAGCTGCTGACAAAGGGAAAAGACATAGGTCTGGATCCAGAGAAGCAAAACAGCGTTCCAGGAAGGCCACAGCAGGCTTGTTGCTCAACTTCAAATGCTGAACTTTACCCTTTCCCCTCCGTTTAGTTTTGGGATTAAGGACACGTAAAAAAGCAGCAAAAAAGGTAGAGCTGAACTGATCTGAAGGCAAAACTAAATCTGCTCTCGTCGCTCGGAGCACCTCGGAGATTCTAGCAATCCCCTCGAACCCCAAGACCAATGTTCCAGCCCATCGTCGCCAGTTCTTAAGCAAGGCCATGACAACAAGAGCTTGGAAGAGGACAAAGTGCAGCGGCTTCCGATGTTGAACAGGTTGAAGGATCTCCCATTTTGTCAGCAGCTGCCATGCAGGGCTCAAATGCTGCCTCAACTCCGAAAAACTCTGTTGGGCTACCACCAACAGATGCCTGAACTCATAGAGAGCTCTGCCTGAAGAAAAAGAAACAAGCCGTATGTCTTCAGCATCACCGCCAGAAGCGCTGGACACCAAAAAATCTGCTCCTTGGCTCCCTCGCTCAGTTGCGATTCCAACCAGACAGAAAACTGCAGCCAGACTCTTTGCTGAAGGGCGTGGGTCGTAGGCTCAACTAGCAGCACTCCTTCCAGCGCTCGAAGATCGCGAGGTCGCCGTGACACTCTTCTGGGACCAGGATTCTGAGCCTCCCCAATGCGCGTCTCGGAGCACCGAGCGCAGCCCCCGATGTTCAGCTTCAGCGACTTTGCAACTAAGCCTGCGGAGACGGCCATCGCAGAAGCAAGGTCATGTGCAAAACCAGAAGGATAGACCTGGGCCATCCGTGTCCAGGACATTTTGCGCTCTTTGTTCCGCCCTCGCAAGATGACATGGGTATGGCCTCCCAAGCATAGATGGCGTTGGCCGCTCAAGCAAGTGTTAGTTGCAACTCTGGTGCGTTTGCGCCAGGGTGTGTAATACCTGCACAAATCCACTCTGAACGACTTCTCGGGAGCCCCTATCTCAGCGCGACTCCAATCCGGTAGCAACCAGAGGAAAGATCCGTCAGGATTCTCAACCCAATACACCATGCCCAACTGTTCGCAAACCACTAGCACCCGCAAAAGGAACTCAGCATGCAAGTTTCCAGTCTCCACTTTTTGCTTCGGTCGTTCTCCCAACCCTGGTAAGCCCCAGGGACAAGCAGCACTCCTCACCGGTGGATGCACAGCTCGCGAAAAGCTGCAACACTCTGGCGCAGCACCAAGCCCCAGAAACGCTCCTGAGGACGTCAGCTCCAGCAGCAGAGCTTGTAGTTGAGGGTCCAAAAGGTTCTGATTTGAGCCATGTTCGAAATCAATTGTCACTACCCAGACCCCGAAGCGTCGGGCTAAACTTCTCGCCACTGCAGATCGCCCGCTGTAAAGGTCTAAAAAACCTTTTCGTTCTGCAGAGAACTTCTCGTTCTGTCGCAACCTCCGTCCCCCGGGCAGCAAGAAACACTCCTTTGGAATAGACTCCAACAGCTCCTTGCAGTGCTCATCAAGCAAGGGAGAACGGTGATTCTCCATGGCTGTAACTAGCCGGCCGGAAACAGGACTATCACTATCTACAGGGGGCTCAGGAGGCGAGCCGGTGGTGTTCATGACATGTCTCTTTCCAGGCTGGGACTTGCCTTTTGAACCAACAGAATGACACTTTGGCCCCCGGTTCATTTTCCCTGAGGGCTCTTCTTTCCTGTTCTTGGTTTGGTCATCTGACTCTTTTTGTTCCTTTTTTCTTTCCGATCTGCAACACGAATCAAACCTATCATGCACTGTACAAGAGTAAAAAGGTGAAACATCCTCAGCTCCAGCATTAGGGTCAGCAACAGCTTGAATGGGCTTCTCCTCTTCAAAAATTTCTTGAAGCCTCTTCTTCTCCTTTTGTTGTTGTTTCTCCACACCCGGTGAAACCTTTGCAAGATCATTTGTCCGCTGGCCATAGATCTTTTGATCGAAGGCTGTGAGCCTCGAGGGCTTCTGTACATCTCGCAGGTCACTAAGCAAGGAATGTTGGAGAAGCTCTCTATTCACAGGGAACTTCTCACAAAAAGGGAGCTGCGCTATTCTCAGAGGGTCATAACCTCGTTCTCCTAGCCACTGGTCCATCAAAGAAAAATCCCCTTTCAAGGCAGCTTTCAGCCATGGGGGAGGAGGAAAAGCAGGCGCTCTCACATCGGTCCATCTAGTAGGGTCGTCCCCCGCATTCGCCAGTGAAGGCACGTAACCGTAGCTGCCATAGATACCTCCGCCAAGCACAGTAGCAATGCTCTGCTGGAGCAAGGCATTGAGGCGCGGCGAGCTGGAGCGGCCCTTCAAGATGGCCGCAACAGCGATTTGGCTGTCAGAGCCCAAAAGGTACCTGACATCCTGACTGTGCAAAGAAAGCTTCTGCTCCAACTCTAAAATGCTCTCAAGCTCCAAAAGATTGATATGCTTCCGACTTCTCACAAGCCGTCGATGGTACACCTCAAATTGGAAGACTTGCGCAAGTACTAGCCAGAGTGGATGGCTGATAAGTGGTACGCCTTCAGGTAGAGCATCTTCTTCATCCAACTGGAAGTGTTGCTGCAACCACACCTTCCAAGGCGTCAGGAGGCGTGTCCAAGCTCCACGCGACAAGGCATGCCTGTGAAGTTCTCTAGCAAAAGGTGCGGTCAGATCGCATCGAACAGACGCTCTGACTTCTTCAGACGCATCACTCAAAAACAAAGAAGCTGCCGTTTGTGCTCTAAGGTCAGTGACAGCTAGAGGCGCCAAACACACCAAAAGCCAAAGCTCGGTCAGCAGGGAAGAGGACATCCTCACTATGTCTGTAGGTTCTCTCCCATGCTGTGCAACGTAGATCTCATCCAAGAGACACAACATGCGTCGACGGAACTGCAATACGCTGATCCATGCTCCTGCCAAGGCTTGCAAAAGGGCCACAGTAGCAAACCCCAGGCGAGCGGTGCTGATGGTAATGTCCATAAGCGGCACCAAGCGTTTTGGCGCTGCTCTGACCAGCCCCGAGACACCATTGACCCAAGCGCCCCAGATCTCTGCGGAAGTCTCCGCTTCAAAGGTTTTGCCCGGGTGGTGCACCAAGCCTCGTGAGAGGTACTCTTCTTTCATGCCTCGCAAGCGCTGAGCACCATCAGTCTTCCAAAGCAATTCGCGGGGCACAGTCACAGAAACTTGTTCCAAGAAGAGCAAGTCATCGATGATGACGCCAGCAGCTAAAGGCCCGCGCGGCGCACGCCCATGCACGCACAGCAGTTCGCGGGGGTCTATAAGCCCTGAGTTCAAAGCAATCTTCACATGACACTTCTGACCTAGTTCCACTGCTTGACAGTCGCCCATGGCCATTGTAGAGAGACATGGATATAAAACAGTTTCTTTGTCGAACTTCTCAGAATAGCATAAAAGATCTTTGACTTGTTGAGGCTTGAGAGGAAAGTTGAACGCGTTGCGGCTGGCTCTTGACTTACTGACTCGAAAGCAATAGTAATAGTCCCGCAAATCTGTGCCGCTCATGATCAAGTTGTGCTCTGGTGCAAGCTCGATCTGCAGTACAGCATTGATTGTTCCCAATGTCTTCGACCAGTCTCGCAATGTAGTTTCTAACAAGTTTGGAGGCCTAGCATCTAAAATCAACCTATCCTTCTCACCATCCTTGACCAAGCTAAAAGCACCACACAAAAAACGCTCTCGAACTTTTTCACCAGGAACTAAAAGCAGCCGTCGATGATGATCCAAGAAACGAATAAGCTCCATAGCCTGGTCTTTGGACGCATGGATTCTGACACGAGGAGGCTCTACCTTTGCCCAATCCGGTTCTTCTGCTTGTGAGATGGGATCTTGAAACACAGATTTGTGAGGCTCATCAAAAAGGTCGGTTGGGTCAAAAGTAGGAGCTTCCTTTGGAAAAGACAAGCGCGAAGGTTCCACGCACTTCGCAAGTTGAGGAATGCCCTTGGTCAGACTTCCAACTACTTCGCCAGGATCTCCACTTTGATGGCCTGGTTTCGGCCGACGGCTACTCTCACCCTGCGCTGTGCCGTGATGTTCATAGGGAGAAGCTACTCGTCTCGTAGCTTCATGCAAATTCTCCAAAACTGACACCAAGCTCTCCACTTTTGCCGCTGAGCGCCCCATAGTAGAGGGACCAAAATCACCTGTGAGCGCCAGGTCTTCAAAAAGACGCTCAAAACGTTTCACCACTCCCCATTGCTTGGCAGACAAATGATTGGATAAGGACAGCATCGCCGGAGCTCTGGCAGGCCTGTTGAGATGCAACCAAGACAAAGAGAGGATCAGGAGATTTGTGGCCTTCTCAACGCACATCCTCTTGTAGTTCTTCTGCGCCTTATTCTCCTTCTGAAACCAGCAGGGATAGGGCGCAGGAATAGGCCAAAGTGGAGGAGCTGTTCCCCCGTCTGCCGGGGGTGTGCTTCTCAGAGTACGCAAAAAACTTGCAAAGCCGGTCTTACTCTCAAAGATCCACCTGGCTAATGAATTCCAAATCTTCAAGACATTTGACACCGGAGCCTTCGATCCGGGTACATGTAGGATTGTTTCTGTACTCTCACCTGGGAACACCTCGTCAAAGGGGTGACAATCCTCTTCCAGGTGAGGCTCATATTGCGGCTTCACTGTGGTGCCGCCTGACTCGTCTCCTCCGAGTCCTTCTGCTTCTTTCCTGCCTTTCCGCTGCCCTTTCCCTTTTTGTCGCCTTTTGGCGGCTCTTCCTTCTTCGGTCTCGTGGTTGAAGTCAGCTTGCTGCGCTTCTCCTGGTACTCTGCAATCTCCTTCAACTTTGAGAGGAAGAGCTCGCTCCACCGATCGTCCACTAGGCGTGTGTGCTGAGTTTCCCATGGGTCCGGAGCCGTGTGGGAAGAGAAGCTTGCGTAAGGGGGCGGTGGCTCGAGCGTCAGCTCGGCTGCAAGCAACCATCCTCCTCTGTCGCAAGACTGTTGGTCGAAGCAAGCCGTCGCCAAGGCGGCTCTGGCACGCGCCTCCTCGACACGCCCCATCATCAAGGCGTCCCAAATCCCGGCGCAAAGCCAGGCTGGACGAATAGTCCCTGGGAAGGAAGAGATCCGCGATCTGTGTTCCAACCACCCTCTGGCTGAGATGCGAGAGATCTGAGCCCCCGGTAGGCATTGGCCGCCCATCTCCCAATCCGCCTGCATATTCTTTTCCAGGGCCTGGTAGATGAGCTTCGGGTCCGATTGCAAAAGGCTTTGGAGAGAGCGAAGGGCGGCAGCTTTGCTGCGTGAGTACCCTATAGAATCTTTTGCCGACCCAGATTCTGCTCGATCCAGGATTGCCTCCAAACCCTTGTCCTTTCTTTGTTTCTTCTCTTTTCTCATTTCTCCCACAATCTTGCTCAGCTGAACTATGGCCAGACTCAAAGGATCTTGTTGCCCTTGGCCTCCGCCCAGATGAACGTCGTGCTCGTCTTCGTCGCTGCTCAGCACCGGAGGAACGTCCTCCGCTTTCATGGCAGCAGCCTTTGTCGCCTGAAGCTTCATAGCATTGCCAATCTCGTTGAGGGCAGAAATGCTCACCCCTGCCGCCATGGCTTGTTGCACTACCATCGGATCGAGGCCCGTAGCTCCTGCAGGTGGAGGTGCTGGTGGGGCAGCTTTCGCCCTCGCATCCATCACAGATCGAGGTGGCAAGGGGGCGGCTTGTGTTGAGCCTTTCTGGAACTCTTTGAAGCCAGCAAGGAGATCTGTCATTCCTCGCTCCAAGCGACTCATTCGAGTCTCCATGTCCTGAGCGAGGGCTTTCTCTTGCTCCCCCTGTGCTGCGCTCTCCGCACTGAGAAAGGTGAAATGGTCTTGAGCCACTGCCACCAGCCCCTGAGCGTAAGGCAACTGAGCAAAGCCAAATCCGTCGACCGGGAACAGCACATCTCCCTCTTCGCTCTCCACGCCGTAAACCACAAGGTCCACCAGCTCCGGCTTGATGAAGCCCAACCAGATGCGGATCGTATGCTCCTCTGGCACAGTGCGATCCAAGCTTCCGGCACATCGGACTTCAACTCTGACCGGCTTGTAGAGAGCGTCTTCAGGCAGGGATCGCAATCTTCGTGTGCGATGCCAAGCTGAATCAGGCACTGCTACCAAGGCTTGTTGATCAATTTCAATGACCCCTATAATTTGAACCCTTGAGGATTGATCAGGGCAAGTGAGAAAACCAACCTGATATTCAAAATTGACACCCCTTTCGGAGGAAACAAAATTGTCGAAGAGACCAGTGGCTTCTGGCACCGCTGACTCCCCTCCGTCGCCCCCTTCACTGAGGGCGTCAAGCATGCCGATCAGTCAAAGCAGGCGGAAGAGCAAGGCCTGCTTCAAAAATGGCGATACGAGCCTCCTCTTTGGTGGGGAGGCCGATGTAGATGGAGTCCCCCGAAACCCGATCTCGAGTCACACGGGCGGAGCAATCTCGCCAGTTGTTGAAAACCAAAGGAGGATTGTGGATGCGAGATTCAAAGTCCCTGACAACCAGATAAATACGAGATTGCAAGTTCACCTTCTCTCGACCAGACAACCCTCTCAGCTGACCCTCAAGGCAACGGCGGATCCACTTCCCAATAGACCTAGCAGCAGCCTCTCGTTCAGCTCCAACTCGGTAACCAGCAGTAGTAGAAGAGCTAGCACTCAAAGGAGTCTCTTCAACCACCGAGAGAGGAGCAGTCTCCTCTGGTGTCCTGCCCTCCAGAGCGGAGAGCCTTTCTTGTGCTAATGCTAGCTGTAACTTCAGGGAAGTGACTTCAGAGTCCAATCGCCTAACAAGTGTGCTCAAAGCCTGAACCTGCTCAGCTAAGGTGTCCTCAGAAACTCTCATGCGAACCGGTACAACTCTGAACCCCTTGATGCCAGTTCCCTCAATCTGTTCCGGACCCACCAACGCCAAGAAGCTCGGATCAGGACCAGCAAATCTAAGGTGGGCCCCAGCAAGAGACCAATCAAGATT